ATCTATGGCTCTCAGTAAGGTTTCTTTTTATCTTATCTCTCCTAATCCCAATTCTGCCAACCAATTATACAAGCTTATTAGGTGAGTTATTTGCTGTTTTCCTTTGTTTCTCTTGCTTTCAGTATTTCCTGTGAGTGTCAAATTCTTCAAGACTTCTTTCCCCATTACATACCCTAGAATTTTCAGTTGTCTCTTTCTGATTCTAAGTATAAAAGTCATTATTGTTTCTATTATCCCTAAAACTTCCTTGTTACTTATATTTTCAGTCCATGGGAATTTTCAACATCCTTCTGTAGTACCATATTTCTGTTGTCTCAGGTATCTTCTTCATCTGTAAGGAGATTGTTCAGCGATCATTGCCATATGGGGTGTCCTATATTACATAACAGTTCAGTCCTTTTTCTAATAAAAGCTTTTGGAAGGCATCTTCCACCATTCAAATGTGTCTTTGGATTTAGATGTTACATCTTCTGTCCTCTGTTAAAACATTTCTTAGCAATTTCAATTTTTGTATTTGCTTGATTTTGGAGTCTCCCATTTATAGTTCACATCTTGGGCTGTTCCTTTTGCTGACAACCATATATTCGTTTTTTTACAAATAATATTTAGTTTTTTCTTCTCACTTTTTTATTAGTAAGCGACTAATAAAAAAAGTGAGAAGAAAAAACTAAATATTATTTGTAAAAAAACGAATGTATGGTTGTCAGCAAGAGGAACAGCCTAAGATGTTATTGTACTTTCCTTTCTGTGTCTGTTATCAACACTGTCATCTGTATATCTTATGATTATGGCCACCAATAATGAATCCTGGTAGAACTTATTAGAATTTAATTTGAGAAAAAATGACTACAATAGATGACAGGTTCACATTCTAGCCTCTTTTCTAATACTCATTCTGACTTTTTCCCTTGCTTTCAAATCCAGCTCCCAAAGCCTTGTTCCTTATCAGTGATAAGGATATATTTTCTGACAAATGAGAGAGCTGGAAAATATAAAAAGGAGTTTAAACATCATTATCCTGTCCTTGGTGCCATGAAGTCTGGGGAGGCACTCGCAGCTTGTCAGACTCTTGCCGGCTCCCAAAGCCTTGTTCCTATCAGTGATAAGAATATATTTTCTAACAAATGAAAGGGCTAGGAAATTTGTATAGCAATTTTGGAGGGAAAAATCCCTGATATTTCTGAGCCTCTTGATCTCCATATATATGGAGAATCTTTATCTATTTGGCAGTAAGTAACCGACAATCAGCCATGATAACATCAGGTCGGCAACAGAAAAGCAGCCATCTTTGCAGTCAGCTTCAAAAAAGTACTACCCTACTGGGATGTAAAGCCAGAACGTCAGCCCACTACCAAAAACTAATTGAGATTGGCTTCCTTGCAACTAGAAGATGTCTGTTGCTGGCCTACGAACTCATTCAACTACAAACAGTTTCCTCCTATACAAAAACTCTGAACAAATCTGTAAGTGTTTTAACCTTTAAAAAAAATCTACTACTCACATAAAGAATTTTTTAGGTGCTCAAAAAAATATTTTGAGCAAGCTTTTCTTTTTTATGAACATTTTTTCTTCCTTTAAAGTTAAAGGAATTTTCTTTTCCCTTTCTTTCTCTTGTAATTGTGTATATCCTTATACCCTTTTTTGTAAATAAACATTTTCTTCATTTATTGTTACACACTGAGCAGGAGTTTGAGTCTTTATTCTTCTGCCTGAAAGAGTCAACTAAAAATAGAGAATCGTCCGCTCTGATCTTTCAAGCCATTGTTGCTTTTATTTTCAATTTTGTCAAATTTTAAACCTCAACCCTTTCATATATGAAAGCTGAGACAAATTTCCCACAAACTTCTAATCCTCTCAGAATTACATCACTGTAAAGATTGAATAAATCCAATGACAAGACACATCTTTGTCTTACATTCCTCTTTAAAAACGTTTTAATAAACTGTAAAGAGCAATTGTTTGATTTACTTGGCAGCTGAGATAATTATGTATTTCACAATGAAGCCAGATATTGGTGTGCACTCTCAGGTAAAAAGCAAGAATTTAAATGCTGATTCTTAAGCCAGGCAGTCTTTCCACACAGAGAAGATTGTACCATTATTCCTACAGCCATTGTCTACAGTTTGACCTTATATTATAAACATAAAAACGAACAACTTTTTAAATGGAACATGATTTGAACTCAAGGTCATGCAACTGTCTATCTCTTAGATTGTTTGATAAAACCAACCATAAATAACAATTTAATTAGTAACCGTTCAAAGTTCTGAGATTAGCTAATTTACATGGATGAGTATCCTCATCTTTCACTGTGCAGCCTTTGAATAGAAATTACTTTTTCAGACAGAGAAACTACTTTGTTCTGACTGATTCAGTATAAGAAAAAGAATAAAAATCTATGTTTAAAAGACTTGAAATTGCAGCACTTTTAAAGAACTTCAAGTGACATTTCTTTGTTTTCATAATTTGTTTGACAAATTAATTACAGCAGTTAACAGCAGTATTCTACAAAATATGATGACAGCTCACTTTAAAACAACTAGACTATTTAACTATCACTGAAAAGCCAATTTTCCTTATTAGGTTGCCATAAGTACAAAGGGAAAATGACAAAGAAATATTTTAAAATTTTAACATCTCTGAATAATCTCATATTATTATAAAAAGTAGGAAAAGTGCATCTGAAGAAACCAGTTGAATTGATACTCCAGAATATGATTTTCATAGAACTAAAGACAATAGTTATAATCTGAAACAGCCTTCAAGTTATAATAAAAACAACCCTTTTAAAACTAATTTAGCCAATATAGAAAAAGTTAGCTGTTATTTTTGTTCATATTTTGTTGAGTATATAAACATGAATACAAAAATCTGCAGTTATTAAAATTATTTTGAAATTTATATTTGCTTGTGAAAACTAAACACAAACAATATATTTACATAATAAATATTTTGATATTGCTGGTCATTTTTATTTATCCACTATTTATGTTAATTCTTCTTTGCGTTATATACATTTTTAAAGTCAATTAATAATTTGTTGTAGGGTTTTAATGTATGGTTTGTAGTTTTAGAGATTCTCTTTTTTATTTTTCTAGAAAATTTACATGTGCAAATATATGGAGCGCATACTTCAAAATATATTCACGCTATCAACTATGTCACAAATTGCCCAGTTATTTAGAATTGAAGGTATCTTTTTTTTTTATTTCCAACAGGAATTTGGTTATGCAGTATTTCAACTGAGTAATCCTTGAGTCATATTTGGATTCATTTTCCATTTGGTGGAATTTTCATGCACATACTTTTCCCAAATATATTAATGGAAAATAATTTTGGTCATTGCAAGATTGTACTGCCAGCAATATTTATTAAACTCTTCCTTATTGAAAAATATTTTTCACTGACCTTAAAAAAGTTCTTAATTTTGCATAGCATTAATAGTTTTTATGTGATTATAGAAAATATCTTTGAAAAGGTTTTAATAAGAAAAAAGATATAATGTGAAAACTAATGAGAGATTGCTAAATTTTTATTTTCTTGCAAGGTAAAACTTTCCCATGTTTGACCATGACCTAGATAAATAAAAAGATTTTTCTCAGTAATTCAATAATTCACCTTATTTGCTTTTTTTTTTTCATTATTTTTACTGTGTTTCTTTTGCACAAGCTAGTAATTTCATCAAAGACATTAAAATACAAATCTAGAATATAATACCATATAAAAAATATTTTTAAATACAGAAAGAAATATGTTGTCATCATGATGTCCCAAAATGATCATTTAAGGAAAATATTAAATGTAATTTTGTTTGTGTGTTTCTGTGAAAAATACCATAGTTTACCCTTGATAATTGCATGCACTTATTGCAGATGGTTTAGGCATTTTAGTGTTATTAAAAAATTAATATATTTCTTATATTTTATGTATCAAATATTTCTCTGTGTGTCTGCATTCCAAACCATTGCTCTACACTACAAGATACATTCAGTTGTATTTGATTTGAAATTATGACATTTGACCTTTTCATCCTCAGTCATCTTAGCTCCAGCTGTAGAAAGAAAGAGAGAAGAGATGAATGCTTGTAAACTGATAAGTAGCAGCCTAACTTCATATTTTCCTCTTTTTTTAAATAAAGTTCAACTACAACAAATAATATTTAAAAAAAAGCAACACTTTTCTATTTGCTTCATTAAAAAAATAGGTTCTTAATAGTTGGAAGGAGCAGAATTTTTCGTTATTTCACTTTTAGTTTTAAATATAAAGAAAAAATAATAATAATAAGGAAGGTAGTTTTTGAGAAAAAATAATGACTGGCAATGAATGCAATAAACTCCCTACAGAATAATTTGCCAATAAAGAAAATAAGATTGTGATAAATTGTCAAAGATAGCCAATAAAATTTAAAAAAAATGTAAAATTAAGAAAAAAAAAACAAAATAGTATTTCTTTAAAAAAACAAAGCAAAGTAAAATGACTACAGTGATTCAATTTTAACACAGAATGAATTCTCCAATGATTTTTGCAAAAAAAGAGAAAAACAAAGTTTTGCTGATGTCCTATTCTTTTTTAAGCGTTTTTTATTATCTATCAATCATTTCGCATTAAGTTTTCAGAAAAAAAAAGTATCTTTTTAGAGTTACTTCCCTTGATAGTAATTGGCTCGTCATCTCTAAAACGAGTACTTGTCAAGCGCGACCATCATTCAAATGAGAGCTATGGCAAAAAGGAAACTGAAATGTAGCTAATGACCGAAGTTTAAAGTGGAGATAGATATATTTTATTCGTGAATTTCTTTATTAAATAATTTATATCGGTGAATTTTTACAAACATTAAACTTAGCTACTGACTTGTAAAGGACTGTTTTTACTTTTTAATATTTAATTTAATTTATTTTTTCCTAATCATGGGACTTTCTGCAAATAGATATATACTGCTAAGCTTTATTGTCAGTATTTCGTTCATTATTTTGGGTGGAATATTAATTCCTGTTTTTAAAATGGTCACCCGGGAACGGATGAAAAAGGTATGTCGTACATTACAAACACTTTTTATGTTGATTTTTTTCTTTATCTTTTTCAACTTGATCTTTCACGACGTGTCTATTTTTTCTTATCATCGGTCGATCGCGATTCTCATTCCTTTCTAAGGAAATTCAATTGTCCACAAAACAAATCGTCTCGCCTACAACTGATTGTTATTGACAATGTGTCTATATTGGTTACACATCTTGATCTACCCGTAATTAGATATTTACTTTGTTGACAAGAAATATTTAATCGATGCCAACAAGCAAACATGCTTATTTTATTTTTATTTTTTTAATCATTTCACCCCAAGCAAGGCAGGAGTGCCACTAGTACGCAGTGGGTTACAGAGAGAGAAAAGACTGGGTATAGGTGTCGTGAGGATTGAGGAAAGGCTAAAAGATGAAGGGGGGTTGAAGTCAACAGAAGATGACAGTTGACGTTGCATTTATTTTAAATATTTGAAGATTGTAGTTATCAGGGAATCAAGTTAAACAGAAGAGAGTTCCACTGTTGGAAAAGTGCGAGAAAAGAAAGTAAATTGTTGAAGTCGTTGGGACCGAGAGATGCTTAGAGATGCAGAGATGCTTAAATTAAAAACTTCGTCAGAGCAGTTGCCATGAAAATATTTAAAAGACAGAGGAAAGCCACATCCCAACTTTACTTCTTATTAGTACGTTGGGGAGATCAGGCTACCAATACATAGCTTCTTTTTATGCAGAAATTAAACAGTTACAGTTGAATGCGTAAAATTTAGCACAGTTCTGTGCTCGGATAGAGTTGAGATTATAGTCCCCGGATGACAGATTTCTTTTTGCAGTTCCAAGTAAGTTGTTTGTTCTCAAAAATCAGTCTCTTAGAAGGGAAAATGTTTATGTGAGTGGCGAGTGAAAGAAAATGTGTGTTACTGTTTAAAGAAGAAAAAAAAATCAACTGTGTGTAGTACGTTTAACTTTAATTGTGTATTTCTATACACAAGACAAAACCTACTAAAATAGGTAAGTAAGTTTTTTATTTTTAAATTATATTTTTATTTTTTGATGAGGAGGGGTCGTTTTAACAGCATTTCCATTTACAAATGTAGAATTATATTTCAATTATATTTAATAATTTCTAATTTTTGAATGCTTAAGCCTTAACAGGCAAATATATTTCTTTAAGTAAGAATAAAGGCATTAAAATACTGTCATCATATACATAAATTAAATTTTTGTAATGTGACCTAAAGGAGTTTGCCCTATTTTGCAACTTATTAGAATGGAATCTATGAAGTGCTTGTCTGGATCCCATCAGGAGGAATAAAATTTTAACATTATTAAAAGTAAAACTAATTGTCAAGTGGAGACTTAGTTGTAGCATGTGATTTAAAATTACAGGTTATTTAAAGATATACATAAACAGAAAGATATATTTTAGTAAATTTAGATAGTCCTTAATAATTTGTTTTAACAACTTTATGTGACACATGACTCTTCTTCTTAGTGATTAAAAATAAAAAATGCTTAGGGGCTATAAATAATATTCCATTTTATAATTAGTCTAACTAACCTCTAAAATTTAATTTACTCTAATTAGCTTAAAACTGACTAAAGCTCTACCAAAAATTATTCATATGATCTTTAAACAATGTATCATTTAAATCACAAACCTCTAATAAGTCATCTAAGCTCCTCTTGGTAATTAATCATAGTTTCAGTTGGTTAATTTAAATTAATGCTAAAAATATTATAATATGAATAAACTTTTTATAGTAATTCCAAACCCAAAACATGAAAAATAAAAAGGTAAATTCTTCATTAAAAACCTTTTAAAAATTATAAAGCAATGACAATTTTAAAATAAAATTGTCATTGTATTTATTTGAGGGCTTTTGAATAATTTTTCTCATTCAATTTTAAAATGTTCCTGTTTAAAAAGCTTCATAAATTGCTTTTATTTTCAATTTTAAACTTTTAAAAACTTTTTCATTTAAATTTCTTTTTTAAATTTTTAGTTTCATGTTTTTTGTTGTGAGCCAAATAAATTAGGAGACTTGTGTAAATATTAATTTTAATTTTATAACCTCTTTTTACATAGATTGTCAAAATACTTTCAACAATGCAATAATTTTTGTTGCTTTGAGAGAATGTCAATAAACTCTACTGAGAAAAGGAAAACATCTTTCAATCAAAAGGTGACAAGATCATATTCTTGTTAGCTGCAGCTGGGTGGTACATAATTTTTACAATTAATATAGATAGCATATTGAATCATTTCATTGCTGAATGTTCATTTTTATTTTTCAATAGAAAAATAGATTAACGCAAATAAGTCTAACCTTAATCAAATTCAAATATATTCTTCATAATACAGGGTGTGGCAGATACCTGGGAATGGTGATATAGACCATTCATTACCGTGAAACTCTCTGTCTTTGGCAGAGAGGAACCTGGACGAGGCTTTGCTGAAGGGCAAAGTTTCGTCCGGGGAGGTAGACAGGCCCTGAACACATTTATACGGGTTTGAAGGGAATATTTTTGGACGAGCCTATGGGCTCGGAGAACCCATGATAAACTCGGCTTTGTGCGACAAAGAGGGGGGCGTTAAAACATTAACTAGGTTACTAGATGAAGACGCCATTGTCTTACCCTTATGAGGGAGATATTTCTGTCACACTCTGTATGATGTGATACAATTATAATTAAAATCAAAATGATCCTTGTGCTATAAAAAAAAAACAAGGAGTCTGTAAGAAAGATAAGTTTTGAATGTTTTCAAACAAGATGTTCTTATTATTTTATTTCTTTGTTCTGATTTAATTCTTGTCTTTTTCTTGCTTTATTTATATTTCAGCCTCTTTTCTTCCTAGAACGTTGTCCCTTTTATTTTTTAGAAGTTTAATATTTTTCTATTGGTATATGTATACCTGTCACATCCAATCTCTCTGCATATTTTTTAAAACCTGAAATCTAGTATTTCTTTCCCCCTATATATTATTGCTATGTATGATTGGCCTACTCTTCACAATTTAAGCATAACAATAAATGATTGCTTGATTTCTCCATGCTAATCCCAGTTATTTTGACTTTCTCTCATAGATGTTGATGAGCATATATGATCATCTATTCCTGATTTCAAAGATTTGAGTTTTTTTAATATTCCTACCACAAGTGTACAGTATGTTGTACATGCAAGTTTTAGTCATTTTTTTCTTCCAGTAAAGAGTTTTGTTTGTGAGGGAGCTGAGTACATTGGGACTATTTTTGATTTTTGAATACTGATTTCATGTTGTCGGGATATTCTTTCCCAACCTGTTTTTTACCAAATGCATCCTTTTCACCATATGTCAGAATATCATCCTCCCACTTCTAAGATTGTCCAACTCAAAAGATGCATTCCAAATAATATGTATATATTATTGAAAATTTGCATTTTTTCTATATTATAAGTACATATACATAGACTATTTTCATAGAGGAGTTTTACAAATTTAATAGCAATAGAAAATGAATTTTAAAACTTGAATACATGTACAGTAATTTATTTTAATTCATAACTAATTATCAAATAAATAAACTGAAGCATACTTCAGTAAACAAAAGGTTCAATTGAATGCCTAGGTATTGTAATTCAATAAGCAAAATGTTCAATAAAAGGTTGCTATTTAAATAGATTTTATTCTGATTAAAATTAGTTATGGTCTACAAATTCTGTAAATAAAAAAAACAAGGAAAAGTAAGATTTTCCCTCTCCCTGAAACACTGAAATTCCTCTCAGGGGTGGGATTTCCTCTCTGCTTTAAATCATCTTGGCTATTTATGATAAAACTGCTGTAACCAATTTTTTGTTTTCTGTCTGTATACTGGTGATTGTTTAGAAAATAGTTGTGTTTTAGAAAGTGTTCTTTATGCTGATCATCTCCTTTTGCTACATATCTGGGTCACCATATTATAAAAGGGATACTCAAGAATAGTTTGAGTATACAGTAGTCATCATCACAAGAAAGAATTTAACAATAACAGAATTCATATGAACAGAACAATTTATTGAAAATGAAGATGATATCAATTATTAATCAAATTCATTTATACAAAAAGATCCTCATTGATCCCAAACTTTGAGATATTTTCTTTTTCTTGAAAACAATTGTTAGCTCATAAAAAAAAATATATTTTATGTAATTTTCATATTTGATAAAGCTTCTTATCTTTCAGATTAGGTTTTTTGAACCCTGCTCTTGCAATCACTGTTTGCTGAATAATTTTCCCAATTTAAATTTTGTATTTATAAATCAAATGTTCAGGTAGTATAAAGGTTATCAGTAGAGCAGACTATCATTGTTAAAATAAATTGTACTGATGAATTCCATAATTTGGAAATATAAATATGAGTGCAAAGAATATGGTTGAAACCTCTTCATTAACATGTGTAATGTTCATAAACACACACACACACACACACACACACACACACACACACACATGGTTGGTTCATATACTTGGTTCCAAGTGGATGACTACCATATTTCCCCTACCATTACCTGAATCACATTTATTTACAGTCAATCTTAGCCTTATTCCCTAAAGCTTAAAGTTTTGATGAGAGTGTCATTTTTTAAAAAAACTTTTTTTTCTCTTATTTTAAAATTCAAATATCTTTTTTTAATCTCTGGAAAGATGAGTTAATATTCAGCCATTTTTTTTTTTTTTTAAATTTCCTTGTTTCGTCCTGATCCATTATTCAATTTTATTTGTGATGTTTACTGGCTGAAGGATCTGGTTTTAATTTTGCAAACAATTTTGGTTCTGTGTGTCTTTATTATAACATTCTTTTTACAGAATTATTTGGTCTTTTCATGCTTCTTCAGGACTTCTTGCTAAATCTGCTGGGTGGGAAAGTAGCAGAAGATTACTCTGGCTGCAACAAGAATATTCTCAAATCCTTTTAGAAAATTTCGTTCTAGGCTTCATTTATTGTAATCAGATAGGATCAAGTTCTCCATTGCAGTTAACGGATCAGTGAGTATCATAGATATTTGTGGTAATGTATTTTGGTAAAAATGTTAGGCTCATTACCAATATTGCAGGTTGTTAGATGTGAACTAATGTATTTAATATAAAGATGGTATTTTTCTGTGATAATTGTTTGTGTCAATGACCCAGGTTGTTGAGATCAGTGGCCAGGTGTCTGTGATCATGCAAGCTTTTGTTAGAGGATGTCAGCTGTGGATTTGACTTGGAGAGAGATGGGCTCTGCCAGATCTACTTGCCCAACACATGCTACACATGAATGAATACCTCTCTGGCTTTCAATCCAGATATGCAAAGGGAACTGTCAGGTTTTCAGCTGAGCAATTATATCTGATGAGTAATTATGAGTATTGAGTTGTATTGATGAATGGGCATCTGTAAACATTCTACTGTTTGGTCACTAAATTCATCAAAGGTGACAAAAGAACTGGATGGTTGGTATGCAAAGTTAAATGTGCCATGAGATAATACCAAATCCAGAATAATATTTGATATTTTATTAGTGTTGTTTACATTTACCAACTCGGGCCTCAAATCTTTCAAAGGATTAGGAAAAATTGAATTTAAAAACATCTAAATGACATGTTTGAATTACAAATTTATGCATTAATAAACTATGATCCTTTTATTTTCAATATCTTTTGAGGCATTGATGCAGGTCCATTTTTTAAATGGCTGTCCACTGACTTTGATAATTTTCTATTGGTTGTAAGTTTGCTGCCCTGTTTACAATAAGGCTATTATTGTGATGTTGTTCAGTTGCCCAATTATCATAATGTGGTCTTGCCATTATTTTAGATTAACAAATCTCACTAAAGTCACCTTAAAAACAAAATATAGTTGTACCACTATAATGTACCCTCATTCAATAAAATTTTATCACAAGTTCACAACTATTAAAAATCTTTGTTAATTAAAACCTACTAGGAATATGCCTTAAATCTTATTTAATACTGCATGACTCTTATATGGGATGTGATGCACTATAAAACAATTTATTCTTAGTAATAGTATATGTCTTTATATTCAGACCAGCTGTTGTACCTTTTTTACTTCTTTAGGTACATATTATACTAGGTAATGTTCTTGGAATTTTGAATTGAACACTTTATTCAATCAACAAGAAGTAGATTGTTCTCATTCTACTTTCCATGCTTTCTTGTTTCATCTAATTCTATCTAGTCTATTCACTTTTGTGTCATATCTTTTTAGGTGAATAGATTGGAGAATATTAACTGAAACAAGATATCTCCTAAGCATAGTGGAATGAGAATTAGCTTCTCCCATAGATTGAATAAAGGGTTTGGATCAAAATTCCAATGTTACATAGTGCAACAGAAACCTAAAGATCTACAGAAAGTACACTGTTGTGAGTTTAACAACCAGAAAATTTGTATTTTCTCCTCATTGACTCTCTTTTTGTTTTTATTTCAGCAACTCCCTCTCAAGAATGGCTCAGAATCCTTTAGCAACTGGATTAGTCCACCAGTTCCTGTTTATTTCAATGTCTATGTTTTCAATTATACAAATGCAGAGGAAATTATGAGCAAAGATGGTGTCAGACCCCATGTCAAGGAAATGGGGCCTTATGTCTACAAGTAAGTAGGATGGTATATCCTTGGCTTCATTCAGAAATTAAATAATCTCCCAAAACTATTTGAATTAAGAAAATAGAAATTGCAGAAATGTTTGTGCACTTCAATGGAAAACACAGTGACACATGCATACAGGTGCATATATGTAAATACAACAGTAAAATATATATTTCAAAATGCAGTTGCAAATTTGTTCTTAAAGGTTAAAAATGAATGGAATTAATTTGTTGTTAGCAATGTGAATATTTTTGATTTGTTTTTGTTTGTTTAGTGGCATATCAACTCCTTATGGGTCATTTAATGCTGAAATTTAATTTTCTTGGGAGCATTAGTAATTCCTATTACATACATGAATTGCTGGTAATATTTTTACTATGAAAATGCATTCCTGATACCTTAACTATAAAAATGTATCTCTACACTTTCATAATGTTTGGGGGTTCATTATTTGCTCATAACTGGGACCCTATCATGTGCTACCAATCTGGGTCAGGGTGAACCTGGGAAGAACAGCAATTAAGAGGTGGTTCCACATGCCCCTCAAATTCTTCCAATGAGAGGCTTTGCTGCCAGATGTAGTTTATTATTATACCCAGGACATAAATATTTTCACTCTTCCTCTACTGACCACCTTTGATTTTAGTTACCTTTTCCATTCCATTAAAAGTTTTCACTTTGTTATTTGTGAAGGAAATTTTGAACAGTGTCATGTCTGTCTAGTTTATTGTTCAGCCTGTTCTACCATTCCTGCTACAGGAAATGGACATGTTATTTCAGTAGGATAATGCCTGCCCAAATGATGCCCACGCAACTCGACACACTCTGCTAGATACTTGACTACTTTTCTGTCCTCCATCAGATATGGATAGGACAACACCTGATTTGTTCAGTTAACTCATCTACAATTCTTGGTTTATTGCATCAACAAGTATAAGAGGCATGGAATAATGTATTGTAGGATGGTACAGTGGAATCAGATACATGTGTGAGTACAGACCATTGTAAACACCCAAGGAGAATAGACATTGTATTAATATGGGGTCTGAGTATTGTTGATACATCCCTTATTTTGAAATTCATTGATTTGTATTTACAATCATATACAGTAATCCAGCTATATTACCTTAATATTGTTGAATATTGAGTAAATTGAAACACATATTTAGGGTGTTACAATTTTATTTTTTCTCAATGTGGTATTTGTTTATACAAACAAATTCCACATTGATTTTTTTTTTTTTTTACCAAATAAACAATTTTGCCATTTCAGCTCAAGTAGATAATTTGTAACAAATTGTTCATGTAGAGTTAAACTATTATTCATCTTTGATATTCTCCTTTCTTGTATGATAAAATCTTCCATGGGTGAAATCCTGTGTTTTCTATTTGTTTTTCTATATATATATATATATATATATATATATATATATATATATAATATATATTTCTCATCTTGTGTCCAGTAAAGAGAGATTTTTGGTCAGCAGAATTGCTGCAAATTGTTGAATGTGTTTGATTCTCTCTTGAGAATTTATGGTGAAGCCAAATTCTTTCCTTAGATATTCAATTAACTTGAGATGTTTATACATTGTGACATTTTGATAAATTTCTGCTGTTTTTGGTAAACAATACTCAACAAAGTCATTCTCTCCCATGATGGTCACTGTTACCATAAACTTTAAATTATTCATAGCCTTAGAAGAGATATTCAACTAAATCTCATATATTATTTTCCAAACACACTTGTAGATGCTCAATTTAATCAGCTTATCATCTTTTTCTATAATTAGATATCAAACCATATTTTATTGTAGTAACAATAATTTTAATATAAGCATTTATTTTGCATTGAATTATAACAAAAAGATGTTGGGACTAATTAATAAGATCAAATTCTGATTATATACCTGTCAAATTAAAATGTGAGTAAGTTACTAAGGCCTTTTTTTTTTTTTTTTTTTTCAGAAAATCACATATTTTTCTTTAATGTTCAATTATATTAAAAGAATAAATTTTAAGTTAGAAGCCATTTGAAAGATTATCAAAACTTATTAAAAAATTAAAGAAAACCTGATATAATATAGGAGAAAAAAGATGTTCAAATCATTTTGACTAAAGGAATTAAAACTCCTCTACCATTCTAATAGTGTCTTTGGCCTGCATTTTTATCTTTTATTCATGTACATATCTTATAAATGTATTCCTAAGAATAAACTAAAAAAATAAATAATTGTTGGAAAAAAAAAAAAATTAAAAGTGGCCTCTATTACTGAATATATATATATATATATATATATATATATATATATATTTGGGAAAGGTATGAATCCTCTTCTTCTCCCTCCAGCTATGGGTAAAATAGCAGGACAGACTGGGTTCTATAGACTTGGATGGCAACTGGTCTAGGAGAAGGACAACTCTGAATTCAAAACCTGGAGGGTCGTTTGGGAACCTTGTGGCACTTAGTGCACCAGGTCTCTGTATTCGCCCTTCAAAAAGTGTGGATGGTCCTGCACGAAACCTTCACCACTATAATCAAATCTCATGTGTCATTGTTGGGCTGTCGGTATATTGGAAACTGATCTGTTTGGCCCTCATATAATCAATTAAACGGGAGAGTCGACTATATATATATATATATATATATATATATATATATATATATACACATACAAAGAAATATACTCTTAAGGTGTGCTATGTTTATTGGATAAAGTGCTGAATATCAGAGATAGAGCATGTGTAAATGTAAAAGTGAACATTGAAGTCAACACTTAAAGGCAATAGGCTGTTTCATGCTAGACACAATTGTCAGGCCTAACGATTGCCTCTAGCATGAAACAGCCTGTTGCCTCTAGGTGTTGATTTTTTTATATATATATATAAGTTTTCAGATTTTAATGAAAAAAAAAAGTGTTTTTTTAAATACATTTCATTCTCATTTCAAGCCTAAAAATAAAACAATTGCAATTTGTAACATTTTTTTAGACCAAATTTTGTTTTCTTTTTATAATAGTGAATCCCTTCACTGAAAATGATTTCTTCCATGTAAATTTTTGACTGACAATTTTTTTTTGTATTTTTTTCCTGTTTTGTAGAGAAACTCAAGAAAAATTTGACATCAAAATTGAAAATGACACAATTACATACAGAGAGCGGAAATCTTATACATTTGTCCCAGAGAAATCATCAGGGTTGGAAACTGACATGTTATTCACTCCTAATTTACCTGCATTGGTAAGAATTAGTTTTGTGGCTTTGCTACTAGATGAAGAAACAACATAATGGATAAATCAGAAAGTGAATGTCAAACACGAGTGCTGTTTTGTATTTGTGCCTCTAAGGAAAACCATGAACCCTCCACATCCCACTGTACACTTCTACAAGCTATTTGAACTAATATTCTCATCTTTGCTGTTTTTATTATTGCATTTCAGTCAGTGTACTTTTTGACTTTCTCATAGTTATAAGCTATCTGGTAATGTTTTGTTTTCTTATCAATCTGAAAAAGGTTCTTCCAGGTAGCAGCAATTCAAAAATTAGACTGAAAAAAAAATTGACTATATGTACATGCAAATTTTCTCAGTCCATTTCTAAAAATGTAACAATCCCAGTTGTCAGTCATGGGAGATTTTCACCATTGTTTTTTTTTTCTCTTCTTTACTGGCTCTTGACCTCTTGACTGGCTTTGCTTGTGTTTGTAATAATTCTATTGGGAAGTCATGAATCCACTTCTTCCTGCACTCATTTCCACAGCCAGACCTGTTAATAAATATTTAATCCCTGGCATACTACAATTGTTGATGAAAAATTGAGTGGGCGAATGACTTAAAACTAAGCATCTAAGTACAAGTAACAAAAAAACTTGACAGAGGCCAATTATTAGCAGTCTACAGTTGAAAAAGCTTAGTGTTTTGAGGAAAGAAAATGTTTCCCTTAGTAGCCTGCTACTTAAAAGCCCTGGGGTTTCTACAGATATCTGCAAATATTCTAGGCTTAGAGCAGCAAACTGAAAGCTAAGATATGCAAAGTTCTATAAAAGTATTATAATGCCACAACAAATATCACTTTCAAATAACAGCCAAGAGCACATCCTTCTTGTGATCAGTCTTGTAGGCATTTACTTTTGAAGCCTGAGAATAATATTTATAGAATAAAAATTGATATTTACTAATGGAAAGATGATTAATTTATTATAAGTAAATTTTATCTTTTATTAAATTTTAAATGGGATAAAGATATATAAATTTTTATATATCAAGAACAGTTTTGGAGGAAAGATGTATGACAAAGTGGAAAAAGTTTTTTGTGATGTGTTTTGTCCCTTAGGACTTTTTGGACTAGTTTCATTTTCCATTGATTCAAGTACACAAGCACATGAATGAGAGTCACTGGGAATTTTAAATTTATTTATTTTTTTTAATTGGCTAGATTATATACCAAAACACATTGGATAAAACATTTTTCTCAATTTTTAATTAGCAGTATCTCTTGTTCATGTGCATGTGTAGTTGCATCAACATAAATGAACTTAGTTTGATGAAATCTTAAGAGACAAAATGTTTCACACAAAAACCTTTTCATATATCTAAAGTTTAAATATAATAAATGATTTTATTTAAACAAAAATGCTCATTTTTATATTTTTGAAAATTTCAAATTTTACCAATTGTTCTTTCTTTTCTTGGGAGTTGGAAGCTCTTCTTTTCTACAGAAAAAGTTTAGACCTTTCTTGGGTGCACAATTGTAATTATATGTGATGGCACCCTGGGAATTGTTTTGTCATGGAGACTGAGGTTCCTGTTCACTGTCAACAGATAAAGAGTTTTTTAAGTGAATATAAATTCCAAATATGATTGGACAAAACCATTTTGTATCTTGAAAATATACTGAGCTGATAGTTGCCTTCATGGTAAAGTAGATTTATAATGGCATAATTTCTTGTCTTTTTTTATGAATCTGTCATATTAATTAATAAGTTTTTGTGTTTGTTTCAAGGTTTTGATTAGTGTTATGGAAAATATTTTTTTGTAGCTTTGTCTGTTCAAAATTTCTTTCTGGAACATTTTTATCAATATAAATGTTAGCCAGTCTGTATTAAAGCACATTGAGCCCAATAAAATGATGCTAAGATACAAATATACCAATCATGACACCCAGTCATAAGAATATGCATCACAGCCAAATGTGCATAGTATGGTGACAGGTACTGATAAAATCAAAACAGCCTTTCAGGGAGAAATACTTTCAGGTTGGATAACCCAATTGCCTCAGACTGACTCCCAAGCCACTTTGGCTGATTCATCCTTCAAAACTCAGACCTCTTGACAGCCAGTCTTGATTCTGTCCCACTACTCCCACTCATGAACAGTATGTCAGCCCCTAGAGGAAATGCCTAACTGGTTAAAATCCAGCAACTAACATCCAAATCTGTGCTACTGAATCAAATATTTACTGTAGCACATCTTAATTTACCAAAGACAAGACGTGTACATGCTAATGCTTCCCAATCAATTAAGATCAGAAATCATGAGAACCATGCCAGGTATATTTGTTTTATAATAAAGGAATGCTGAAGAATATTCAGCCCCACTCACTTTCCAAAATTTGACCAAATCAAATGACCATGAAAGATTATATCAGATAATGAAGGATTTGCTAATCTGTGTGGATAATTCCAAAGATGGTGTAATCTAGAGAGCTAAATGTAACACCAGAGCAAATATTAATTAAATAATTAAGAAAGATACAACCTTAAGGTTCCATGACTATAATTTATTTCCCCAGAAAGGTTGTCTTTTTTCTTAATTATTTAATTAATTTAAATATATATATTTAATACAAGTAAAAGTTTTGTCACTTAGCTGATTGATGTTACCTTCAGCAATCCAACTCTAGAGTTTTGTAGACAGACTCTCTGGGAATTACTCCATCCATTTACTGAGGTGTGTCAACAACTGACTGCTTATACTTCTTGGTTTTTCTTTTTTATATGCACTTTTCATTGATGTAAGCTTTTTTTTTTTCATCCTGTGTGTGTGTGTGTGTGTGTGTGTGTGCTTGTGCACTACCTGCCTGCACATATATGTGTACATGTAGAATGTTGTTATTATTTGTCCTTTTCATTGTTTTTATTTTCACTTTACACTCACTCCTTAATTGTTTAACTCTATTTTTCTTTTTTCCTCTTTTCTTTCATTTGTTGCCATTTGAATTCTGGTTTTCTAGACTTATGCTCTCATTAATTTTTGAGTCTTCTAATCTTTTCTTGAGTTAGGAAAATTGTATTACATTTTTTGCTTAAATAATAAAGTAAATATTTATATATATCTTCACTTGACCATTGATACAATTTTCCCAATCTTTGTTTTTTCCTTTTCAGGTAGTAATCAATTTACTCAAAGCTGCAAATACTGCTGAACGTATTATTGCTGATTTTTTCTTAGCAGCTGACCCTATTTTCAAACCACTGTCAGTTTCTGATATTGTCTGGGGCTTTAAAGACCCAAATATTGCCAGAGTAGCAAACATCATAAAGAAAATTTTTAACATCACCATTCCAGATGAGTTTGGTATATTCTATGGTGTAAGTATTTTCTTTATTATCTTTTCATGTGTTTTCTCATGCAGTAATTACTTTTTAATCTATTACTAACTAATTAATCCCAATTCAGTAATTGCTAAAATATATTAGATATTTTTTCTATAATTAACACAGACTTGGTTTTAAATAATTTGTTTAGATTTAAAACTTCTGCATGCAGATTGCTAGAAGACTAAAATGGCATGGCTTGTGAGATTCCCATGTTCAGTTGTGGTGAATATCTATCAGCAACAGTCTGATGATAGAAAAATCACCAACTACTGACAAGGAAAGAAGCAGCCAAGATTTATCAATGTGAGAGATGACTAAATTCTCAAAATTTTAATCAAGGTGAAAGAAGAACTGTATCACAATGCACAGTACATTAATCTTTGTTGTGCATAAGTCTGTAGTTGCAGGCTGGTCAGTATACTCCTGATAACCAATGCTAATTACTGGAAGTATCTTCAATGGGCATTGTGTATCAATGGAAGAAGTTCACCTGGTTTGCTGAGTCTTGATTAGGTGTGGTCATGTTTTGGTAATTTAGATATCTGTTGCTTGCATATTGTTGTGACCAAGTAAATTTTTTTACAGATATATCATATTTTCCTTTTACAACAGAAGAGTATTAAATGACTAGATGTCGGATGATGCAGTATTCAATCTGGTTAACTTGTTACCCCAAGGCCTTCTCTCCTTAATCTTTTTGGGCCTTCTGAGGACTCTGGTACCCGATGGAGTCATTTTTTTTTTTTAATTACCACACAATATTTATGGTATTGCTAAATTACCTCAATTCTTTTTTTTTTTAGTTTTGTCAAAAAGATGACGTCGATGGTGTCATCTTCTATGTTTAATGGATATTTAAGTTTAATCGATTATACTTTCATAACCTTCTTCTGATTTGGTTAAGTTCATAATGAAACGTTTTTGTATAAACTTCAGTCCCTGAACCATGGACATCATTTTTCTTTTCCCAATTTGTTTGTCAATTATTCATCTCTCCCAGTGAGTTTTGTTATTGAACCCACACGTCAAAAATAAACCTTTTCACTGATCTTAAAGCTAATTTTTTAAGCACTTTATTCTTATTACCCGATTTTGTCTATTTTCATTCGAAAGGAATTTGTCAAATACCGATTTTATTTTCCTGGAAAATATGAGCCCCTATTTGGCGTCTTGGCAGATGAAGCAATACTAATCCGCTGGTGTTACCCGATAGACCTGCAAAAACTGTTGTATAGCCGTATTGGTGGGAGTAACTCTCGCCTTCCTCAGTGCTCTCTTAAAAGTATCTACAAAACGCTCTGACTGTCCATTACGTCTTGGGTGATATGGCGCCGTGGTAACATGTTCAATCAGGAATGACTGACAAAACTCCTTAAATTCACACGATGTAAACTGTGTGCCATTATCTGTTACAATACAGTCAACACTCGAAACGGGAAAATAGCTCGTGTAAAAACTTTACTGTCACTTCCACAGTCGGCTTCTTGATTTCAATATTTCTGGCCACTTGGAATAACTGTCAACTACTACGAGGTAGTAAAAACCATCAAGTGAACGAGGAAAATCAATATGTATCCGCAACCACGGACGGTCGGTTTTAGGCCAGGGATTGAATTTTATCAGGGTGCTTTTTTAGCAGCCAAAGCACATACTTTGCACGATCTTATCGTGTTTTCAATATCCTTGTCCATGTTGGTCCAGTAATGTAACCTCATCAGACTCTTCATCCTTGAAGTTCCCAGATGGCCAACATGGAATTTCTTTAGTGTTCTTTTCTGAAGTGAAGATGGGATTACTACTCTGTCTCCATACATTAATATGTCGTTACAGAATGAGTAAACTTCTGAAACATTCTGGTCTTTACTTTTTAGTTTGTCCTTTACTTCCTTTATGGACTCATCCTTGGACACTTTGTCTATTATTTCGTTGATTGTCATTGGAAGCTCCCCTGACAGTATTGCACAAGGTACGTTTTATACTTCAACCTCTGTTCTTATGGCAGCAATGTCTTCCAGGGGTTCAGCATATTTAGGTATCAATCTCGATAACCCGTCTGTATGACAGATTTTAGTGGATGGGAGAAACTCCATTTTGTAATTATAATTGAGGAGAATGGTTCCCCATCTTTGCAGTCTATTAGCAGTATGTGTTGGCAGACCTTTTTTTTTTTTAACAGACGATGGTCTGTCTGTGAACGATGGTCTGTCCATGAATAAATCTATGGAATTTGGATACCGCAAAATGATTCCTAATGCTTCCTTTTCTATTTGTGAGTAACCCCTTTCAACTGGAAATAGAGTCCTAAATGCCTTTACCGATCCATCCTTTCCTTGTATAAAATGTACGCCCCTGATAACGTAAGAGCTAGCATCGCTGGCTACAATGATGTCAAGGTTTGGATTGTAATGAGTCAGGAACAGATCTGATGTAAGGACCTCCTTTATTTTGTCAAATGCTTCCTGGCATTCGGTTGTCCATTCCCACTCTTTGTCTTTTCTCAATAATTCATTAAGTGGAGCTCTCAAACTGTGCATTTTTGAAACATAAACTTTTATAATAATTGGCAAGACTAAAAAAAACTTTGAAGAACTGATACATTTTCTGGTACTGGCATATTCTTTATTGTCGTTGCCCTATCTGGGTCAGGACGTCTTTCGTCTTTGTCAATTATTTACCCCAAGTACTTAATCCTCTCTAAGAAAACTCACTTCACGTTTTTAGTTCGATTCCATAATCCTGGATTCTCCTGAACACCTGCCAAACGAGCGATTTGTGTTCTTCAATGCTCTCACTTTTCATTAAACGTCATCGAGACAGACCACCGCAAAATTCAGACCATTTAACATCGTGTCCATCACCCGTTGAAAAATAGAAGGGGCGACTTTAACCCCGAACGGAAGTCCTAAAATTTATATAAACCTTGTGGGTGTTTCGAGCATTCCTAGTCCACGTGTATTTGTAGATACGCGTCGCTTACGTCAATCTTAGAGAAAAAATTTTCCTCCACTGAGATTCGCGAATATCTCCTCTGGACTTGGAAGAGGATAATGGTGATCCTTTAGGGGCGTTGTTCAGCACATACACGAATTTCTTTGCTCTTTTTTTTAATGTAAACAGTGGAGATGCCCATTCATTTCAAACTTTGCCAGAACTCCCATTTCCCCAAGACGATTCAATTCTTCGTCAATTTGATTTATCGAGGCAAATGGAACGTTACGTTTTTTCTTAAAAACTGGGTTTACGTCTGGCTTTAACTCAAACTTAGCAGACATTTTGTGCATTTTCCTAGTCCTCCACTGAAAACATCGAGAAAATTTTTTTTTAAGTTCACCTTTTCACTTTTTCTGTTTCGTTAGTCAAATTTTCAACTTCTTTAATGAGTTAATAGGCATATACCAAAGTTGAAACTGTTCTAACCAATCAGTCCCAAACAGATTACCCGTATCCTTCATAATATACGCCTTAAGTTTTAACGTTTTACCTTTGAATGACACGTTCGTTATAAGTTCGACCATAAACTTAATAGTGTCGCCAGTTACTGCTTTTAGCTATTCGGTTCATTCTTAACAAAGTCGGCTTACCCAATTTCGTCCATGTTTGATAAGTTATTATGGATATGTTTGAATCCGAATCAAGCTGTAGCCTTATATTTTTGTTAAATATTTGTACTTCAATATATTTTCTGATGTTACTACATTCTGGTTCATCAGACTTGGTAATTTTAACAAAACTTTTTTTTTTTTTTTTTTTTTTTTTTGCTTTTTGTCCCAATTTATCTCAATTAAAACATTTTTTAAAAGGACAATCTCTCTACCAAGGTAATCGATTACACCCGGAACATGGTCTTGATGGCAAAGTAACTTTAATATTTTTGGTTGGCCCTTTTTAATTTTTTCTTTGGCGTATTTTTTAATGTGAGCCACGCCACTCTTTTCGGTGTTTTTCAAATCCTCTCTGACGCTCACGAAACGTTGGCAATCTTCAGTAACTTGCTGTAAAGTAATGTCGGGTTCGTTTTCAAGCTTGTTGAGCACCCTACGACGTATTTTGGCGTCTTTCGCTGAAATCAAACCCTGGACGAAAATAAAGCATTTAAAATTATTGGTGCTTAACTCTGCCAATTTGAAGTCATCGCAGTGTTTATTGACTAGTAGTATAATCTACGTCTTCTTTGTGGGTGAGGTTCATGCATTTCCAACGCTTGTGAAATAGTGACGTTTTTGGACTGAAAAGTTCTGTTAATGATTGAACCGCCTCTTTAAATTTCAAGTCGCTGGTTTTTTTGAGCAAAATATAGTTAACAAACTTAGTATATTCTTCCGTGCCTAATTTCCTGAGTAGACAAATCATAAAGCAAAAAATATGTTTGCTACATGTATCATTTACCTTTCAATTCCATTTAAAGTCGAGTCAGTTTTCGGTTTTTTCTTGCTCATAAAGGTGATTTGAAAGCCCATGTTTTTTAAATATATAAATGTTTATGGATTGTTAAAAAGAACAAAATTTAACATTAACTCCAAGGAGAATAGTATATTTTCAACATTAAAACACTGTTATACGACAAGCAAATTTCAGATTAAACATATAATTATATTGAAAGATGTAATAAACAGAACATTTATCCAATTAGGGAATATATAGGTCACTTCTAAATTCAGGCAATTTAAATTTCAAATTAATTTTTTTTGGCAAAATAAAATTAAATCAACCTGAATGCTATAAACAGGAAAAATTGATTTTCATACTAAAAATTATTGACACCGATGAGTTTATACAAGAAAGAACGTCCGGACAGCTGGAAAAAAAACACGACGACAGAATGATTAATTAAAAAGAAACAAATGAAAACTTATTATATGTCGAATGAAGATCGATGTTCTTTTTTGAAACGATTCACATAATTCACAATCTACTGATTCAGCCTTGTTTAATTTTTTCTCACTTTTCATCGACTGTTTTTTTCAGTTGTTTTTAAGTTTAAACTACATTCTTCATCGTCATATTGCTTTTATGGGAACATATCCACTCTATAAAATGTCAATTTTTTATGAGATTTCGAAGTCTGTTTCTCATCCTTCCCCATTGATGATTGCCAATGCCGCAAAAAGAAATAACAAAAAATAGTTAAGTTCGTATAAAAATAAAAAACTGATTCATCTCTGAATCTCTGAAACAACAAAAAGCATTAATTTCTATACAAGGCAACGTGTAATAATTTTTTTCGAAATAGCAAAAAATCAAACAGCTGAAAGATAAAGAGATAATCATAACATAATTTATCGTGAAGTCTTCGATGGAAGGCGTCTTTTGTCACATGACATGTTCTAGTGTTCGAGCTTAGGATTCAGATGCCAACCTAGAACTATTTCTTCATTCCATATTCCACAATTATATTTAAATGTCACAAATCCGCTAAAACCATTGCGACACAAAAGATTATCAAAATTACGAATCATGTAAGAATATGAAATAAATAAAAATATTGTATCTGAAAATTCTTGGAGGATAAACCAATTTTGAATATTGTAAAAAGACGTGTCGTTTAAAATAATGCGATTAAAATGGTGGCGGTGATGGTTTCAATCACTCAACAATAGTGGTGGAGGTAAATAGGTGATTCAAAATTTATGTTTTTATGTTGTCAGTTATATGTCACTGGTAGAATGTATTAATTGGGAAAATACATCAAACAAAAAAGTTGAATACAGAAAATTCAAGTCACAGTGTGAAAATTAACGAAATTATAATCACGATAAGAAATTGTAGAAGCAGAAAAGTTTCGGAGTTTCAAACCGTTGCACACCGATATCACCGCTACTAATTTTCAACATTAAGAAAATATTTCGAGACAAAAATATGATGATTATATACTGATCTATGTAATATTTAACCTAAGATTTGTTTCAGTCAATTAAAAACCAAGAAAAAAAAGACATTGTCTAGTATTAAGGTAAATGTTACTGGCAAAGGACAATTACATCTATTATTCTCTTAAAATACTGATTAGGTTGATCGTCATATTATAGGAATATAAATTTGCAATAATGAAAAGATGGTATTGATTGAAATGATTTTGGAGCGAATATAATAAAAAGATTTTAATCATGTCAATAATGATTGTGGTAATATAAAGAAGCATTTAGTTAAAATATAATAATGGTAATACCGTGGGTAGGAATAGCTGTTTTAACAGGAATTTGAATTTTAGACTTATGTTCACTTTCACATTAATGACCCTGATAAAAACAAAGCCTGATAACATCGATTATTTTTTTTCACCTAGCTATATGTTAAAAAAAAGTAGGGTCAGCTGGGATTTTAATCTTGAGTAGCAGCCCCAGGCTATAGATTCTATTATACTGATTGATAATAACTATCTGCCAGTCAAAGACAACGGCTGTATATTTAGAATAAAGAAGGGAAATAATTCACTATATAAAGTTAACATAGGTAACAAAAAATAAACAGGATTTGTGGACAGCCATGATCGACTACGTCCAGAAGAGAATTGGTATTAAAATGGGAAGTTTAATAAAAAAATGACTGTTTTAGTTAGGTAACAGTTTTAATGATGAGTTTGCTGTAATTTACTCAAACGATTATGTTGAAAAGGGAGACGATGGAGATCATATTTATTAAAATGTTGTTGGCGGTGATGATGATTATATTCCTTGCAGTTGATGACTGTGATGGTTCTAAAAAATGGCAGTGATGATGATGGTGTGGCGGTAATGATGATGACAGTTACAGAAATAAGATTAGTTTGATGGAGGTGTCTCAATTTGACCAAACCCAGATGTAAGTTATGTGTATTCCCATGGACAAAGCAACGTCCTATTTCAACAAGAACTTTTACCTACAGAGACTTAATGCCTTTTAGCCATATAATCCCATAAGCTCCAATTTACCTTCTTAGATAGATTCCAATGAAGGGCTTAATAACTAAGATAGCGTTGGCCAAGCACGTTGCTTGGCTCTAAATGTATAAATGATAACACTGTCAACTCAGTAATTTCTCGGAGAGCTGATTCAGGAATAAAATATTATAGGAAATATATCGAAAATTGATCCAAAAAACCATAATGGAAATGTTTACAAAATTGTGCTTAAATGAAAACTAAAAAAAAGATTTTTTGTAATATCTAATTCATTTTAGGTGATTTGACTTTCTATTTTTCAATTTTTGAATTCTTCAGAAAAATAATACTGATGATGGAGTGTATACAATATATTCAGGAATAGAAGATCTTTCAAGATTGGGGAAGATCAAATCTTGGAATGGTAAAAGGTAATTTTTTTTTTGTTACTAATTTTCTATTTGGTTGAAAGAAATTCCAGAAACTCTTATATTATTCGAGATGATATTTATTATTAGTTTGACAGCAGTGAGGAATAAAAAAAAACTGAAAATGACAGCACTTATAATGATGTAGTTGATAGTTAAAGAAACAAAGTTCAATTCTAATGTGTGACTCAATTTTTTATACTGTATTTCATTGTAGAAATGAGAGGTGTGCCGGAATTCCTATTGTGGCTGAATATTCTTTTCATTTATTGCAGCTCTGTGCCTTACTGGAACACGCCGCAATGTCGGCAAATAAATGGATCTGGTGAGTTCATTTTTGGGGTGTTTCTGACATGTGACATAAAGGGCAAATTAATGGTCATCTTGATGAGACCAAATTTAAAATAATGTCAAAAATGGTGATGACCATGACAATTTAAGTTTTCATAATCAATAAAAGCTTTAATGATAGTAAATTCTTTTATCCTTTGTGAATTTGGACCATTTTCATAGTTTGATTATTTTATTTAATTAAGCTATTCAACTATTAAATTTCTTTTGAATGAATTCTTTGTGACATCATTTTTGCAAACGCCTCATATTATAACAAAGTTAATGTTGCATTTTAATGCTTCAGTTTCTTCTCAAGCAACTTTTGTTTTTTCTTGAGTCATTTACAGATGGTACCATTTTTCCTCCATACCAAAATGAAAAATCTATCTTGTATGTTTTTTCTTCTGATATCTGCAGGTAAGTTGAATAATTCTGTAAAGAAACTAAATGAATCTTTGTGTTTTCTTATAAAAACTAAAATAAGAATAAGGAAACTACAGTGATTTTTTTTCTCTTACATTTATCACACTACAACATTTATGGATAAATTAATTTGTAATTCCATGTAGGTTATCTCTAAATTTACATTTCATCAATTCATATATTTTGCTATACAAATCTTTTTCCTCAGCTTGGATTTTAGAAGCTGGTAGTAGTAAATCAGTTATGTTTGGGCTGGTTAAATATTTAACACTCAGAATATTAAACACACTCACTCTATCCTCACTCTAGAATAATATTTGTACTCAGATAAAGTTGTTTGTAAAAAGATTAGAAATTAAAATTTTCCTGGCTGATATTTGAAACAATAGGAATTAAGTCAAATCCATTGACCAGTTTTAGAACTTATTCCAGAAGGTGGTCTGAAACTAAACAATGAATTTTCTAATCAAATACTAGATGCAGCATATATATTTACCCATTATTCATTTTATTATAAAATAAAAAAAATTTGGTTAATGAAGATTTACAGGTTGATTGTTATATATATTAACAATAGTTTCCATATATTTACAATTCAAAATGAACACCCTTTTGTTTTCACCATAGTCCTTAATCTCTTCTTCATTCAGATTTTACTGCATCATCATAAGAACTTCTTTCATGTCTGACACACTTGAGTATGATATATGTGTAAAATCACTCACCAATACGGGCCCCTTCCTGTTGGCTGGGGCTTCAGAATACACCAACTGCACTTCTGCAGTGGGGTAAGACCCTCCCCCACCACCTCCATGAGACCACCTGTTTGCTGTGGGTGGCAACCCTAATGTCTGGGGACAATTATCCTGGTGGTTGAGGCCTTCAGGAGTCTGGTTAGCTACTTCTGATTCCCAACACACCACTTTGACTGTTACTTGGACTAGACAGGCAGTTGAAGAGACCTGATCCAATCAATCAGCTGGTCATATCAAACCCTAGTGCCTTTGTTATAAAATATTCTATAAATTGATGTAGTTATATCAATTTATAGAGTACTCTATAACAAAATACTATACCCCAAATATACATCAGGGTGAAATATCTCTATCTAATTTATAGATGTTAGAAGGTGAGAACAATCAGTTCGAAGAGATATAAGCTTAGACATCATTCTAAACATACCAGTTTCTACACTTAGGATTTGGTAAGTGCAACACATGGTTTAATAGGTGCTCAGAATCTCTCAAATATGAGTATACTGATTTGTGTAGCCTTGACCTGTCAAGGTGACTGGGTTTCTCTCTTGACACATCCCAATGTCAGCTCAAAAGTGGGCAGGGAGGATAGGCAGTGAATTTTACTACATCAAAATTATGAATAATCTAAACAAAAAACCCAAACCATATCTTTCAGACTTTGATTCTGAAAAAGAAATCAGTATTGACTTTCCAAGATTTCCTGTGTTTGTGTGTCTAGATGAAATTCCTCTTTCAAAACTTCCCCCTTTCTTAATTGAAATCCAGTAGGAGTAACCCAAAAACCCAACAAAATTGAGAAGAAGCAATTTCCTAGTAGAAGTAGAAAATAGGAAACATGCCGAAAATATATAAAAAAAAGCCATAAGACTTTTTGTAAACTTAAAATAAAAACCTTTCTCCATGAAAGACTGAACACTTTTAAGGAAGTCACATCTGCCTTAGGAAGCTGGTGGGGGAATCAGTGATTACTGTTGAATCCCAATAAAAAGAAAAGGAGAAACCCTAACAGACAGGCACATACATCCTTACTTTTGTTGTTGCTCAAATCCCTAGAAAAATAAGTCAGGTAAAATATTGAACAATATATTCCTTCTCCACTAAGGTGTTTCAAGTGCCAAAAAATTGGACGTCATAGGGATAGCTGCAGGAGTCACCCAACATGTGGAAAATGTAGCCAAAGGGATTCAGACCACACATAAGAAGAATGTCACTATGAAGTAAGATGTGTTAACTGCTAGGAAAACCATTCAGTATACTCATGATCATGTAACTTCTAGAAAAGGGATAAGGAGACAGTTGAGGTGAAACATAAATGAAATATCTCATTCATAGAAGAAAGATAAATAGTAGAAAGCTACATGAAAAGCCCTTCCTTTGCAAAAATAATGCAAAAAATGACTACCATGAAAACCAGTCAACCTGAAATAGGAAGCCCTCATTGAGAAGCTTGTACAAAGAAATCCCATGAAACTATTGAAATAATAAATAAAGAAAGCACAAATACAAAATTTACTGCTCAAACACAAACCACACCTCCAAAAACTACAAACTCTCCTACAAAGCGAAAGTCACAGCAATTTCCTATCCATCCAGCAAAAACCATTAAAGAGACAGACTTAAGAATTTATCTGCCAAAAAAACAGAACCAGCCAAACCAAAACCAGAAACTCAAAATATCTACACAAAATCGATTTGAAAACTAGAAGAAATGGAAGTGGAAAGTCAGAACCCACAAACAGCCAAAATCTCAGAAAATTAAATCACAACATCCCATATCACATACTATGCTAAAGTCTGAAAACATTTAGCAATCATGTATAAAATAATCCGATGGAACTGCCTCGGAATAAAGACGAACATAAACTACTTCTGACACCAGCAGTTATTTGCATTCAGAAAACATTCTATAAGCAAAATGACAAACTGAATATAAAAGAATACCATTAATACAACTGGCTTAGAGCGTCGGGCAGTACATCCATCCTAGTTAGGATGGATGTACCTCGAAATAAATTTAACAACTTTAAAGACAACTACTGTTAAAGTGACCTTACACAAGCCAATAAACATCTGCTCAGTATATATCCCACTGAATGAATCAGTAAATGAAGCTGAAATTTATGAAAGCATAAACACCTTTTATGATGCTAGGAGACTTTAACTGTCACAGCACGATATGGGGTTGTAAAGACACAAGCCAAAAGTGCTTAGAAACAATAATTAATAACAATTTATGCATTTATAATGATAAAACACTGGCTTACATAAATCCATTTACTGGCAGCTACTCAGCAATAGACTTATCCCTATATGATCCATCAATTTCTATGGATTTCTCTTGGAAGGTACTGGCAGACACATGGTAGTGATCATTTTCCACTCATCCTTCAATACTCAGAACATGACAAAAATCCTCTCCATTAAAAATTAGGTGGAGTGAACTGAGAAGAATTTAAAATTCAATGTTCTGAAAAACTAGTTGAAGGAAAAAACATCAAGGTCTTAAAACATTTCATGGAAATTCTCAACTCTATGCATTCCAAAAATTTAGCACCAAAATATGCAACAAACCTTGGTTCAGTGATAAATGTAAAAAAGCCATCAGGATAAGAAGAGCAGCTCTGAGAAAATTCAACAAACAACACACAACCTCTAATTTGCTGCAATTTAAGCAACTCTGAGCAAGAGCATGGAAAATAATTAAATAAACCAAAAAGAAATGCTGGAAAAACTAAGTCAAGAGACTCAGTTCTACTACAAAAACAAAATTTGTCTGGAATATGATGAAGAAAATAGCAGACAAATACCAAATATATAACTCTAAAATAACCAGCAAAAAGAATATTGCTGACCAGTTAGGCAAAACAATCTCTAAAAATTCATCTGCCAAGAATGGTAGTCAACAATTTCTAAAGCTCAATCAAAAAGCAGAAAAACAAAAACTAAACTTTAAATCAAATAATGCTAAGAGCTA